CACCAATAAAATGTCTTGCGACTCACTGCAGCACAGTTTGAAATTGTCTTTGAAGCAATAGAGTCACTTCCAGTTAATGCTAGACATGTAGGAGAGTGGCAGCCAAGTGGTTAGGGCATAGAGCTTGGGATCCTGAGGTTCTGAGTTCAAAACCCACTACCACAGCCACTCTGGTTCTCTGAGCAAAGACCCTTAACCCCTGATTGCTCCCCAGGCGCCCAGCGATGGCAGCCCACTGCTCCCCAAGGGGATGGGTTAATTGCAGAGGTACATTTCTCCAATGTATAATCAAAAAAGTTCAATTATTAATTATTAATTATTATTGTTAGTGGGTGAAAGCAGTCATAACCTAGGTATATCTTTATCTGGCCATGATGAGAGGAAAAACAAACCAATGGTTAAGGCCATACTGGAGAGAATTAGTGACCAAAAAGGACATTTGATGTCTTGATCAAATGTTTTTAACCAGTGGTGAGCACATAAGAAAAAGCAATGGCAAAAGGCAGCATTTACATTAATCTAACCCATGGTTTTTCCTGCATGTCTAGATTTCTAGGCAAAGATCGAATGCCCATAATAAGGCCGCTGCCTTCTACTGCTCCCTGCAGCTACATTATGATGCCACAGGGAAAGCAGTACGCATCAGCTTTAAAGAAAATAGAAAAAGACTGTTTGACTCTTTTCTGATAGGACTTTTTAGAGTTTTCAGAAGTAAAAATGTGCATTTTTTTTGTTTTTTATTGCACGTCATACGTTTTTGTTTTTTTCTTCTCTGCTTGTATGTAGATATTTGAGACATTCTCAGATATTCTTCATGTAATCTTGTTTTCTAATCCATCCACTTTGATTACAGAAACAAGGATTTAGTTTATATTACAGCTGTTCCATAGGATTAACTTGATGAGATGATTTTTAGAGCATAATTCATTCGTAATCTTTAAAAGCAGGGCTTAAACCGTTAAGTGAGACATTTATTTAATCAAATCAATCACTTATTTAAAATGAATGAATCAATCTGATCTTCTCAGATTTGTAAACGTGTTGCTTTTCCCTGCGCTAGGATGGCTGATCCAATGAGCCTTAAAAATGGTTAAAATGATCCATTAAAGGAAGGCGGAGCTGGGTTAAAGAAGCATAATGAGAGGAATGAAGTGTTCAGCTTGTGTGTGCGTGCTTTCAGGGGCATCCCATGGACGCAGATAGAGGCTCTGGGTCCATAGAAGGGGGAGCAAAGGGGTTAAGAGCGGTGTCACGCCTGCAGGGATGCTGCGCCGCCGTCCTAATGATGTCCACCGGCCTAATTGAATATTGACGTTCTGCGTACGAGGGCTAAATAGCTTCTGTCTGCTTTGCCTCCGCTGCTCGCCACGGCTGCAGCTTTTTAACCCGTTTGCTCTGTTCCTTCTGGGAGGGATCGTTAATGCTTCTGTTACCAAGGTTACATGTTTTTTTTGTCCATTTGATGCAGCGAATCCTTTTTTTATGTGCAGTTGTTGCCGTTTTAATTAAAGAAGTCATTTTGTTGCACTAAATGGACAACTCCTTTAATGACGCCCTCTCTTCTTCCATTTCTTTATCCGCTGATCACTGTTGTCTCCTTCCATCCTGTTTCTCCAGCGTTGAATCGGATCATTCCGTGCTGCTTTCCAACAGATGGCAAGTGTCAAGGCAAGAACATGAACCTAGAGTTGCCTGATCCCAGCAGTACAGTGTAATAAAAGCTGTGTCACTGCGACACAGGAAACAATCTCCCCTTTATGTGACCGGGATGTCATCAATCTAGGCAGAGGTTAACAAATGCACTCGCATGGAAGGTATATTTCATGGGCAGGCGGCTGACAATGGGGCCATTGTGGCGTTGAGCCGTCGCGCCCTGCTCTGCATTCAGTCAGGACCTTCTGCCTGGCCTTGGATCTGCAGCCCATGTCGGTGGTGGAAAGAAGGGGGGTTATGTTTTCTCTCCCAGCTTAATGTGTTTATGTGGGAAAAAATCTGCGAAACATGCAGAAAAAAAAAATCAAGAATAAGCAGCTGTAAGAAAGAGTGATGCAGTGTTTTTTTTTTTAGGAATGGTGTAGAAGAGATAGTGGTGGGAAAAAGCATTTTCTGCCATCTTTCAAAGTTTAGCTTCATTGCTTTTAGTCAAAACTAAAGCCAGATGAACACCCTGCTGATGCTTCCTGCACGGAGCCTGCCGATCAGGCCAGGTCTGCTCTGGTTCGCTTTTGTCTGAGCATTTTCATCTGAAAAGAAGCGAGCCTTCTCAGTAATCCATTAGGCTTCCATTAGCTCCGATTTGTGTGATTAGTTCTAATTAATCAGTTCACTCCATGGCCTTCACCCCCCCGCGCGCTCCTCGCATTTCATTTTTAACCTCATTTCTCAGCTCTCCTCTGAGCAGGAGAACGAGTCAACGACCGAGCGAGCGAATGTAAGCCCAGACATTTAACTCTGGGATCAGGCAGGCGCGGCGTTACGACGCTCACTGAATTAACCTGAGCGTTTCTGTTATATCTGGTGATGCGTCAGGCTGCTGTGGTGCTCTAAAAGTGAACAAAGGGGATTGTGATTTCGTGTTTTACACATCTCGCTGCTGTGGATCCTGCTGGAACAGTTGGTATTGATTGGAGCAGGAGCATCCATCCTTCACTGTAACACAACCTATTGATGTGTGTGGAGCCCTGATTTCCCTTCGCTCAGACACCATCCGCAGCTGCTACCAAGTCCCCGCAGATCTGCTTCTCTCTGCTGGACACTTCAAATTAAAATGAATTTTTTTTTTTTGCTTCGTTTGAAGTTGCAGGTCTGATTATATACTGAGGCATTATGTGATGATAATCTATCTTCCTTTCCTCTCCTGTCAGGTTTCTTACTACTATTGTGATAAATGAAAGCTCAATTTATCAGCCAGCCTCCGCTCGATTTCTCCTTCTTCCTTTTGATTTCCATTGATCTGCTCCTATATCTAACCTCTGCACGCTTCACTTTATTTCCTCATCTGTTTTAACCTCATAAATCCATGCCTCCGGTTCCTCATGCCCGCTGCGTGTATCGCGGCTGTCTTTGTGTCTGCTGGGGAAGAAGCTGCCTGTCAGGCTGCTGGAGGTGGCCCAGCTGCTGTCACTCAGTCTTCAGAGCCGGTTGCAGAGGGAGTAGCAGTTGACACATGATGTGGCTCCCTGCTGCTCAGAAATTCACTTTTCTTCTCTTCTACAGGCCTGAGCAGTCAGTTGCAGCTTCCAAAACGAATTTGTCTTCGCTATGAGTGCTGGAATGTAGATGCACTTACTCAGATGTTTTTGTGACCAGAAGCTCGTTAACATGTGCTCCGACATTTTGCTTTTTCTAAAACTGCATTTTAGATACAGCTGAAAGTAGATATTCTTCCCACCTGCAGTATTTATGAAGCCGAGCCACAGCAGCTGATGAAGGCCAATCTTAATTGCCATTTAAGTTGCACCTTAAGAAAAAGAGAAGAGCCGTTTTTCTGATGTGTATCATGAGTTATTCTTCTAGTTCTCATCTCTTGGAGCGACGACTGCGCCCCACCAATTTATATTCACTTTCAACCTCTCGTCTCATCTCCGGCTTGAAAAGATTCCTTGTTCTATGCAGAAATCAAAGTGACAAATTTGATGAGATCCGGGGTCCTGTCCTGTTCTGTCATATTATTCTATTGTTTAACACAAAGAAGCACCTGCTGCATCATTATGGGACGTCGTTTCAGGGTGTCCCGCTCACCTCTACAGGACTTTCTTCCTTCATATGTTTTCATACTCCTCCTCATTTCTGTGTCTGTTCTTTAAAGTTAAACCAATACTTGGTTAAATTTCTGAAATCCAGCACAAGTTACATTAAACTAAAAAGAAGCATGTAAATAAAAAGTATTTTGTATTTAATTTGATGGTGTCAATTTCTTCTATTGAATTTTCCAAATGCTTAAAAAGAAAAACATTAAAGGCTCAATTTCAGGAATTTTTTTTTGCATTTAAAATATTTTTTGTTTAAAAAAAGATGAACACAAAGTGAATGAATCATTTCTCTATGTCTCTGCAAATCTACAGTATAAGTGCAGTAAGTTAGCCTCTAGCTCCATGAATTAAACACAATAAATCACAGGATTTACTTTTTATCCAGCATACATTTGCCTCATAAACCACAGCTTTGTCCAATTTTGTATTTTGATAATCTAGGACTTAGTAAGATAAGATTTACTGGATTAAATTAACTTTATGCAGCTGTTGATTGTAAATAAATCAGCCTTCCTCTTGTGAAGGGTCATTAATTTTTCATATGCGTATGTGAGAAAGACGGATAACACGGCTGTATGGCGCAGCATGATTTATTTCTTTATTTCATTAACAGGATGTCTGGAATGAAAGAATATTATTGGATGGGAAGTATTTACATTTTTTTTATAGAGATTAGCTCGTTCGGTTTAGATATGTTCAGATTGTGTGTTTATAGATGCGGCTCACTTAGATTGGAAGCTTTAAACACTTCTGCATCCAAAAGAGTCGGAGGCTTGAAACTCAAATAATTACCAAAATCTATTCATCCCCTCATCATAGCGCTCATATAAATAGTTAACTATTTACTATAAACATTTGCTGTGTTTTATAGTCTAGCTCAACAATGATATATTGACAAAAGGTGCAATAAATGTTTTTTACGCTGGTAAAAAACTAATGTATTATTGAATTCTGCATTTTCAATTCTTTTTGAGAGGATTTCAAACTGATGTTTTTTTGCATGCAGCCCTTCCTGAGGTATTTTGCTCATCTCTCCATGAATAAATGATGAAGAGCATTGCATGATCAAACACACACAGTAGAGATGATCAGTTTAAAACCCTTTTCTTATACATCTTTGTCAATTATTTCATCATAAAGCTGTAAAGGAAAAAGTGGAAGAATCTGTCATGTTTATTGCTGCTGCTTGTTGATGTGTGCCGTAATAATGGTGCAGTGAATGATGCTAATGCGCTCTGTTCTCTGCAGGACTCCATGGTTTAACGGCTGGGGGTTCAACCTGCCTCGGGGCCAGTCTCTGCTGGATAAATGGAACCTCGTCCCCGAGGGCATCGACATCCTGATGACCCACGGACCTCCACTCGGTGAGTCCAATTAACCAATCACTGCCCCCCCTTGCCGCCGTATAGAAAAAGTTGGGCCTCATTATTCAGTCTGGATGAATAGACTTCAGTCCTTGCAGCAGCGCCATATTTGTGGGCACGTTTTTTAACACGCTGCTTTTGCATCTGAAGACAGCAGTGTGTGAATATGCTCAGTCATTCAATATTTGTGTTTCACTGCATGCAAAAATAAAAGGCTATGTTGGATTTTTCTTTTGGTTTTGACAGCAGATTGATTAGGTTTTCCTCCTGGCTGTTTGGTTCCCAGTTATTTTGTTTTTTTCTTTTATTTATTTCTCCTTTCGATTCTCCATCTGGCTTTATTGAGTGATTTCCTTCCTTTCCGCTCACGGAGAGTTGCTGCTGCGGCTGCTGCGGCAGTGACTCTTGTAGTTTGATTGCATGGAAACTCGATTTCGTAGATACTGCAAACGACAAGAGAGGGGACCAAGCGAGAGCATGGTAGTGCTGGAGGGGAGAGTGAGCTGATGAGGTGGATTGAGGCTGCGCAAACAAGAAGAGATATCAAGATCAGGACTCATCTGGTTGAATTTAAAAATGTAGATTCAAAGGCAGGCATGTTGGCATGATTTCACAGGGAGGAGTATTAAAAGCTGGTTCTGAAATAGAAAGGCAGTAAATGTCTGAGAATAACCCTTCAGTGAATACTTTTACTATAAACGTCTGTTGTTGCTTCAGCTTTATAATATTTACAAGAAATGAGGATTCCAGTGGCAGCTTCCAGTCAGTCAGTTCAATCTTAAATCTAATTGCAGAATTTTTTTTTTTTTTGTCGCTAAAAAGTGAAAGAATATGTGAACTAAAAGTGGCCCTTTATCTGGTGTTAGTGTTGTAGCATAAACTGCATTTATAATGAAAAATGTTTTCACTTCATGCATTTAGAAATATCCCGGATTGCTGCAGTCTGGGAAAATATGATATTTTGTTAGTTTGTAAAATGTGCAAAGATAAAGAGTGTTTAAAATGTTTGTTTTCAGTCTTTAGTTTGATGAAACTGTTTCAGTCCATTTTCCTGACTTTCATGATTCCTCTCCTCTATTTATAAGTCCTCTTATTTCTCCACCATTTATCCTGTTATTGCTCTAATATCATCATGGATCATAAGGTTTTTTATCTAAGTTTGAGCCAAAATCATTTTCTGTGCACTTTTTCTCAACAATCTTGCAAATGTCTTTTATTTAAATCAGTATTTTCATTGGTTGGAATGAGGTTAAGTTCAGGAAAACGGGATAATTAGCCTTAAGCAAAGCTTGCTTGGAAAGTCTGATGACAAAATTAGGAAGCTTTGTTTCACCTAATTCAAAAACATAATAGTATTCACTCCCCTGCACGCAGGGAGCCTCAGTTCCTAGCAGTAACTAAGAGCTTGGACTTTTCTTCTTCATAACATTGGTTTTTTTTCTAAATGTCATGATGAAATGTCTGCAGCGTTTCTGTGGTGTTTGGGACAGACCAGATTTGAGGCATTGCTGTTTCCTGTCCTCATCTTGCAAAATCAATAAAGCTGACTGAGTAAAGATCATTGATTTTTCCAAAGACAAACGCGTCACACACACCCTCCCCCCACCATTTGTGGATGTAGTTGTATTTTATTGCTATTCTAAGCATTGACATTTTTTTTAGATCGGTTTTCATTAGAATTGCATCTCATGCATTTCTTTTTTTGTATTTAATGTTTGAGATCGGTTGATCATTTGCCTCCATCTCCTTCCTGTTTAGTTCTTGTACTGGTCTGCACATTTGGGCAGGGCGTCTGCATCACTTTAACTTTTTATGGTTGGGGGTCAGATACAGTATGTTGTAAATCTGTGTTATATCTAGGCAATAAAGGATGTCGGTAAAAAGGTTAAATATGAATATCTTTGCAGGTTTCAGAGACTGGGTGCCTAAGGAGCTGCAGCGGGTCGGCTGTGTGGAGCTGCTCAACACTGTCCAGAAGAGAGTTCGGCCCAAACTTCACGCTTTTGGAGGCATTCATGAAGGTATTGGCGAGCGAAAAGCCGCCCCCTATATATTGCTGAACTTAAAGAGGGGGAGGAAAGATCTTTGCTGATTAATGTGCAACAAGTGAGACTGACCCAGTGAGGAATGATGCTGTTTTTTATGGGATAGGGAAAAAACTGAGCACTGGCTGGTTTAGCTTCACAAACCAGCCATTTGGGAGTCCTTCTGAGGCCACTCCCCCTGCCTTCAAAGGTTGCTTTCTCTGTCTGCTGGTTGGACTGCACCTGACTCGGGGCGAGCATAACTGCATAACACCTTTTCATAGTCAAACAGACAGCTCATCAGATATATGTGCAAATAAGGACTTAAATGTGTTTAGAAACTGTTTCTGCAGCCTTTTTACGCCTAATTTCAGCATAATTTTGACAGCTTTTGATATAACGCCCCATTGCACATCATATCGATCTTCCAGCTCCTAATAAGAATAAAGACATTTTTTTTTCCTAAAATAAAGGGGTAAAATGCACTTCTTCTACACCACCAGTCTAATAAAAGGCGCTGTGAGAACATTTTGCTAAACGACGCAGCGACATTTCTGTAGTAGAGGCAGTCACAATGGCAGACGTGGGCTGACTCACACCCCCAATAACATGGCCACCAAAATAACTGAATGATCAAAACCTTCTGCTGAGCAAATACAGAACTTGATTTATCTCTATATTTAATTTTCATATTAATTTAATTCATATTAATTTAATTTTCATATTAGCCGGGTAGAATATCTTAATAACAGGATAATATCCTATATATATATATCATATCCCAACAGCCTTACCAATACTTAGCACTATTATCAACCAAATATTCTCCATCTGTCGGTGAGTCATTGTCTCCATAACCCAGCCAACAGTGTTTAACAGCAGAGTCAGTGTTTAGCTCCAATTATTTTATTTAAACAAACAGTTTGGTCAGGTCAGGTCTAAAAAAAGTATGACTTTGGTGAGAGCAGTGTGTCTGATACCTTGATAGAAATATATTTCTTTCCAAGCTGAATGAAAACAAAGTGGAAGGTTGATCATGATAGTTTCTCTGATTCGAATTTATTGATGTACAAACCACTAAACAATACTAGTAAAATGTGTTTGGGATTGGAAAATTGGGCAAACTTTCACCTTTATCTTGTTACAGGGTACGGGATCATGACGGATGGATACACGACGTTCATCAACGCGTCGACATGCACTGTCAGCTTCCAGCCAACCAACCCGCCCATCGTGTTCGACCTGCCCAACCCCTCCAGCTCCTGAGACCGGTCCGCCGTGGATTCCTGATTTCACGGGCCTTGAGAAACATCTTCTTTTCTATAAATATTTCAAGTTTAAAACAAAAACAAAAATGAAGATCCAAGTGTTTCTTTGCAATTTTTTTCCTTTCCTTCAAGCTGTTGTGGAGGAAATACGAGGGTCTGTTTTGTTTTTTTTGTGGGGGGTGGGAGGGGTACTTTAAAGGAGAATACCGGTGGTGTGTTTTTCTTTCTTAACTGTGCCAACAGTCCAGGCATGAGGCCTGGATTCACTCCGTCTTATTTGATTGCCGTTTTGTTTGAAAAGCAATGAGAAAGTGAGATTGTTGTTCTTCACTAAGCAGAGGTAAGACTTTTATCATTGATCTCTGTTTCTTTCAGCCACAGCAAGTAGGCAAACTAATCCTTTAAAAAAAAACGCTGCCTTTGCTCAGAACGATTGAAACAAACTGTGAGACTTTTTACGACGACTAACGTAACAACTTTTTATTCTGGCCTTCTTTCCATTTTCAGGTCATCTGTATAACAAGCAGAACGTTTTGATCCTGTCCCACGCCGGTATTCTCCTTTTCTTTGAGATTTTGTGGTTAAACAATCTTGCTCTTGATTAATATTGCTCAAAACTGTAAAATAAATAATGGTTTGTGAATTTGTACAATTTCTTTACGTTTGGTTTGGCCAAACTATGGATGCCATTGTTTTTACGTTGTGTCATATGATAAATATTTAGTTTCTTTTTGCTTTTCTCGTCAGTTCTTCTTCTCTTATTGGCTGACAGGGATGCTGCCTTAAACTAGCTTTAATGTTCTCAGCTAGAGCCCCGATTCTCTGCAAGCTCAGAGGAAAGTCCTTATTTATTACCCATCATCCCCGCAGTAAAACCACCCGACGATCGCAGGGACAGAAAGCTATCGATTGCAGCCAGGATGATCACTTTTTATCAAGGATTTCTCATCTAATCTGGAAAATGTATAATAACATATATATAAATTATATATTCATCTTTTAAAACATCTGTACTAAAGTTGTGTTTTGATGAAGAAAAAAAGAAAATGTTTTGTTTTTCTGTATCTTCAATGCTTGCATCATCAGAAGTTTCTTTTCACGTTTTTTGTAGAAAATGATTTCAAATGAGAGGAAAATGTGTCGATCACAATCCAACAGGTGTTGATTGTTTTCCCTGCAACACACCTGCCTAAACAGGAATGACATGTCCTTTAAAGTGTAAAATCTGATAGTATTTGTGTTTTATTGCTTTTTTTTCCTAATTTTGCACTGTGTGTAAATGCAATCTTGCTAGCACAAAAAAAAATGTTGCCAATAGTCGTCTCGAGTCGTTTCTCGACAGCTGTAAATGCTCTTCTTTCGTGCTTTCTTCCTCCCTCACGCTCTTTCTCTGATTGTATCCCTCTTCATGGAAATGTTAGTTCTCTTTCAGTTTATTGTGATATATTTAGCTGCCTTTATATGCAAATAAAATTGCAAGATTTTTACTGATTGAGGCTTCTTTTAATCGAATATCTGAAGATAGAAGAATAAGAATTCAACTCTGTTGTCATTACACAGTCACAAGTACAAAGCAATGAATTAAACTCTGCACTTAACCCATCCCCTTGGGGAGCAGTGTGCTGCCATTGTGCGGCACCTGTGGAGCAGTGTGGAGGTTAAGGATGAACTCAGAACCTCTGGGATCCAAGCGCAATGCCCTAACCACTAGGCCACCACTCCCCTAGTCTACAAAGATAAGTTTGTAGACAAGATAAATATTTTTATTAACACAACTCGTCTTTCAGGAAGAGGGACTCTAGGAATATTTCATTTTGAAATGTTCTAACTGAAATTTTGTAACATGTTGCGCTCATAAAGCCAAAACATGGAATAATAAAAAGTGAAATATCTTGTCAAATACTAGATTTTATCATTAAAAGATTTTTTGAGACCGTATATACTAAATGTGAAGAGAAAAGGAAGACTTAGCTCTCCCTTCACCCTCTAAGTAACGCATTCTCAGAGTTTGAGGTGGATATCAGGTTAACCCGTTGTGAAAGGTTTTAATTTCCCCTTTGGCCTCTTCCACTTAGCCCAAGCCCTCTGTTTTGTGCTGCTTGCAGGAAAGGGTTTCCTGTTTCTTTTCACAAAAGTGGTTCCTTTTTCTTCTGTAGATGGAGGATAGAGTGAGACATTTCTAGCTGTTGCATTTTCTTTTTCTATTTTTTATGTATGGCATATAAGACTGCATTCCATTGTGAAAATGATGTTCTCTATAAAACACATCCAGAATCACTGCTTTCTTTACGTATCTTCAGTTCACTGAGGTTTGAGTGTTTTTGTTTCTGCAGTCATCCTGAAATCTCACCACTGCTTTTCAGTTAAATGGAGGAGTAGACTGGTTTATTGCAAAGCCTCTACTTTTATTTTGTTTTTGTTTTTTTTGCCATTCTGTCTAAGATTTGCTGCTGTTACTTATTATTTGCATGTTACATGACCTGTTATCAGTTAATAATTGGTAGGTTTTATTTCACTTTCCTGCAGTGAACTTCTAAAAAATTTCTAAAATCATAGTATTTAACTATAAACAAATGTACAACTGTTCCAAAATTATTCTTATCTCTCTTTTTATATGCTTAATAGGACATCTTAGTGTCTGTGTGGTTGAGGGCCTGTATATTAGGGCTTCCAGTTTGTTATTTTATTCATTATAACAGGTCTTAACTTTAATCTCAATGTTGAATGAAATAGCCTCGTTGTCACATTTAAGCTCCTACCATGGATGAAACGCTTTACATAAGGTGAGAAGTTAGGCTTTTGCTCTTTTGTTTTCATATCTTTATGAAATCAGTTTTTTTTTATAGTCTAACATTGTCTTTGACAGATTTCGGCACGAACAAGTTCTTGTCAGGAATTTGAAACTTTTTATTCAGTAGTCAGTATCTTCTAAATCTCAGGAGTTTTTTGTTTTCAGTAAGTAATTAATATGTTTGTGGGGCAGTATTAGCACAAGTACTTCCAACCTACCTAAAGCAGCTCTATACTGCTTGGTTTTCAGCTTGGTGTCCTTATGAAGGCTGTTTTTTGTTCTTTGTAAATAATATAGACCCATTTTGCAGATGTTTGGTGTTTATCAGGTATTTCTAAGTCTTTACAAGCAGTAAAGTCATTTGAACACAGATATTACTTTTAATGTGAGGCAAAAACAATAATGTAGTCAAGAGTTTATTTTTGTTGTTGTAAAGATTAACAGTAAAAACCAATCTGTTTGTGTTTGGACAGTTTTAACTGTACTATGTGTCAAGACAGACCGATATCCGTTTGGCAGAACCTTTGACGGATCACAGCCACACTTGAATGAGACCTGACTTCACCTTTCACATCCAGTCATAGAAAAGAACAAAATGTTTGACTATTTCCAAACTTATCTCCATATTCGCAGCGTTTCAGCTTCAGATCTGCAGTTTCTCAGATTTCCTTCTTTTTTTTCTTTTTTTTTAACCTGTCGCCAGCCCAGATCCTCAAAGACCCAAACTGAAATCGGCTTGAATTACAAGGCACCTATGCCAGCCGTTCCCACCAGCCCCCCTATCCTACATCACCACCACATCAAAGAAAACCAACCAATTAAATATTCCCACAAAACCAGAGCAGCATGGCATCGCCTCACACCCACCAGATCCCCCTGCACATTACCATAATCCAGTCTAATCATATTAACAGAGGACGCCGATGAACAGGGGAGACATGGCAGCTCTGGCTCTGCTGGTTTTGCTCTCTATGTTGTTTATCTGCACGGTTTAACTCTGACCCTCATAGACTACTGGAATAAGCCTTTAAATGTAACCCAGTTCTCACTAACATGAGCACATGTTATATCCTAAACAATTTTGGACTGAACAAATGCTTGAACACTAGTTTTTAGGGGAGATTGCTCGGTGCAAGGAGACAAAATCCACAGAAGGATTAAAGAACTTCTTCCATGATGGAAAGCAATGTAAAAGATATTGTAAATCAGCTTCAAAGTTCAGGAATTCTTCATGTCATCTGGATTAGTTTTTGTATTCATTATTTTGATTGCATTTTATGATTTTATTTCAATGTCTGTGTTTACATCGTTGTTTTAAGGCCATAAATGGGTAGACCCTGGCTTAATATTAAACGTTTTTGCATCACCATACAGTAGTTCTGAGGTTTCAAAATAATTTTTTTTATATTTTCTTTGAGAAAGAAAAGGTCTGAAATTGGGTTTGCTTGCAGTCAGTTCAGGGAATTCCTTTGAGATTTATTTAAGAAGGTTTTACAGAAATCATGAAGGGAGCTCATCCTACCACTGGTCTTTTTTCTGCTCACAGAAATAAGCAATAGAAAACTCGTAACTGAAAGAAAACCTGCCCTGGGCCATGTCATCTCCTTTAACAACCCTCATATTCAAAAACTCTTGTTATCTGGAAGGATATTGTGTATAGAGGACACTGGTAAAATATATGTGAAGCTGACATCTGACTCAGAAACAGCTGAAAAACCAAAGGGTGTCGAGAAAAAGTTTTCCTAAGGAAGCAACCAAACTGCTTAAAAACATATTGGACACATAAAGCCATAAAGGCTCCATCTAGTGGTGCAAACCCAGGAAAGTGGTCAGTCTAGAGAAAAAACTGGACCCCAAATGATGCATTAGGCTTCAATGAGCTAAAAACAGAAGAACTAAGACCTGATGACAGGATGAGCTGGAGAAGTTCTGGAATATTCCAAAATAGACGCTGAGCATTTCACCTCCCTCTTTATTCAGACAACTACAGCATCTTCCTTTTTATTCCTTCATTCAGATTTAAATGACTTTTTCTTTTTAACAGTGTTGATCAAACTTTTACTAACGGGTTGAGCTTGACGCTTTGTGCACCTATAGGTGATCTGCAGGCACCCTTACTGCAACAAAACAAACATGACAACATCTTACTCTGGTTATCGGTGTCTCTCAATTATAGTCTAAGTTAGTGAGAGAATGGATGTGGATGAATATCAGCCAAAGATAAGGCAGTTAAAAACCTTTAGAAAAAACCATCAAGGCCACGTTTAAAGGCTAAAACCCTGAATTCTGAGCGGAAAACGAAGGAGAAATGGGTTTAGACATTTACTTCACATTTTATGTTCTCTAAAAATGCCTGAATGTTGAACAAAAGCGAGTTCTTTTTTTAACTACCAGAGTGTATCTATACAGAAGATAATTCAGGAAAAAAAGCAAACCTTCCTGGATAATTAAATTATACCACAGGGTTCTCTAAACCGTAATGATGCCCATTAGCTTTAGCCGTCGTTACCATGGTGAAGAAGCCAGTCTGAGGTGTGAATGAAGGGGCATTAATCACATAGCACCATCCTGAGCCTGTTTTTATGTGTTAGCATGTGTCTGGGACTTTATACCAAGGAATGTGATCATTTCTGACAGTTATTTTAATCAGGAGAGTTTAATATAACAGTAGCTTGTTAAGACTTCATGCTTTACCAGCAGAGTGTTTCTGTCTCTTCTCTCTGTTAGAGACGTCCTCTCAGCCACTCAGCAAATCGTGTATCGCTGTTAGGACGTTTATAGCACTGCCAAATTGCTGGCTGCATTAATTATCCTTGTCCAGGCAGCTGCCGGTGATGTTTTCCTGTTTGTCAGGTTAGCCTTCGCCTCCTGCTGATGGATGCGGGGCAGGACTCGGTGAAGGCTGACTGAGCCCCATCGACCTCAGAGAGCGTGCAGCTTATTCTGGTGCCAGAGCTCTGCGTGCTCTGTTTATAGGGATTTAATTGCTCACCAGTGGTATTATTGTAATCTGGAGCTCATTTGGCACAAGTAGGGGTGCCATAAATTTATTCTCTGTGTCAGAGTCATAATTTCCATGTGCTCATCTCAACCTGTGGCCTTCATTTGCTTTATTTTTAGACTAAATATTTGATTAAACGGGCTTATATTGTTTTGGTTTCACAGTTGTGACCAAAAGTTTATAAACTCTCATCAAATGATAAATTGTCCTATTTATTTGGGTTCTAAATGATTTAGCTGCACTATTGAATGAATTCAAACAATACAACTTTTGTAATTATTTAAAACTGTTGTAAGGAGATACATGTACATTTAGTGTAGAATTGATTAAAATTAGACTTAAAAGCTTAAATATATGTCTTGAACTGCAAAACCCTGTGTTACCGCCTATTGAGTCAATTTGGCAGCACTTCAAACCGAGAGGATGCTGAGGAAGAGCTAAGCCCTAACCTAATGTTTTTATTGATATTATGCAATTTGCTGATTTTATCTGTGACCATTGCCTCTAGAATCCCTTTTCCTCCATGATGTCTTTTGTGCATAAGATTGTAATATTTTAGATCTTTTCTTGGTGCTTCAACAAATTACCCTTGAGTTGAGCCCCTGCTCCAAAATAAACACCTTCAAGCTTGACAGAACACCACAGCTTCCCATGTGGACGAGCCAGACACCTTTCTGAGAAAGGTTTCATGGTCAGAAC